CGTGCAAAGCATTGACACACTCCACCCTACCTTCTCTTCATTCACATCAAGGTTCAACAATACCGCTTCTAAAGGATCCTCCACATTGATCATGGCACTAGTATCATCAACTATCACCTCTATGACAAGATCCACAAAAGAGCACACTTCAGTACTATTCGGCTGCCTCATTGATTTGCGCACATGAAAGATAACTTTTTCGTCACCCACCCGGAAGGTGAGCTCCCCTGCTTCCACATCAACCAATGCCTTCCCAGTTGCTAAGAAAGGCCTTCCCAATATTATAGGCACCTTATAGTCGACTTCGCAGACGAGGACACAAAATCAGCAAGCAAAATAAACTTGTCCACCCGGATAAGAACATTATCAGTTAATACCAAGCGGCCTCTTCATTGTTCTATCAGCATTTGCAATCTCATTGAAGTAGCTCTCGATTGACCAATACCCAAAGTTTTGAACACGGAGTAAGGCATCAAATTTATACTTGCTCCCAAATCACACAATGCCTTTGCAAAATTCGCATTCCCAATGGTACATGGAATGGTGAAAGCGCCGGGATCTTCAAGCTTTGGAGCCATCGAGTGCACAATTGCACTTACTTGATGAGTCATTTTGATGGTCTCACAATCCATAGATATATTTTTAGCCACCAAGTCTTTCATAAACTTGGCGTAACCCGACATTTTGCTCAAGAGCTTCCACCAAAGGAATATTGATCAACAAGCTTTCATCATCTCAATAAACTTCTTAAATTGGTTTTCATTATTTTGCTTCGCAAGTCTTTGAGGGTAAGGTGGGGAAGGCCTTGGCAAGGGAGCCTTAGCCTTGGGTTACTACCGTTTTCGGTGTATGTCTATTATGTGTTCCCTAGACGGGTTCACGTCATTTTGAGTCTCCACCTCATTATCATGAATATGAATTTCTCACTTCAGCATTCAAATTCTCTGCACTCACTTGCTCATCAACTATATGAACATCATCATCTTGCACTTCAACCTCATCAATCACAACTTCCTTTTGCTTGGAGGTATTCACTTCACCACCTCTACCGCTCTTTGTGATCACCGCCATTGCATGCCCAGTATTGTTCCCACCTTAGGGTTCACTACCGTATCACTAGGTTAGAGCCTCCTTAGGGCGAGTGTTTCAAAGATTGCAAAATATGGCCAAGTTGAACCTCCAAGTTTCGGATTGAAGTACTATGGGATGCCAACTGGGCATCAGAGTCGGCGTTCTTTTTCATCATTTGTTTAAACATCATCTCGATCCTTCCCATCTCATTGTTTGACGAGCTAGGACCTTGGGACATAAATGGAGGTGGGTTGTTTGGCCGTTGATACATCGGAGGCCTTTGAAAGCCTTGCCCCTAATTCCCTTGATTGCCATTATTTCCAACCCCCTTGGTTGTTGTTTCCTCCCCAATTGCTATTGTTGCCACTCCAGTTGCCCTGGTTGTTCGGTTGCCCCAATTTTGATTGTTGTTCCCCCAGTTGTTATTTCCCTGTTGGTTTTTGATTCCCCCAATTTCCTTGGGATCTCCATTGTTGTTGTTGGTTAGGAGCATTGCCCCTTTGTCCTTGGTAATTGTTCACGTACTGGACCTCTTCATTTTGCTCATCACACCCATCATCTTGGTTGAAACCACTACTACCCTGCTCAATATTGATCCGGTTTTCCTTGACTTTGTTGACCTCTTTGTTGCCTCTTGTTGACCAACATGTTTACACCTTCCATAGCATTTACTTGTCTCGTGCTTGAAACTAGCTGCAATTGAGCTTTTGCCAACTGGCTCATTGTTGTAGTCAACTCCGCTATTGCCTGGCCATGGTCGTGGAGCTCCTTGTGCAGCGTGAATGACAGTGGGATCACCCTGTGGCACATTAGCTCGACTCTGCCAAGCTGAGGAAGTATCTGCCATCTCATCCAATATCTCACACGCCTCAGCATAAGGTGTTTCCCCTGCTATCTGGTTCACTACACACTGATTGGTCGTGTTAATGCCACGGTAGATGTTTGCTGGATCATTGCTTCGGTCATGTCATTGTTCGGACATTCTTTCACCATAGTCTGATACCTCTCCCAGATCTCATGAAGTGGTTCATTAGGTTCTGTTTGAAGGCCAAGATCTCATCTCTCATGTCGCCATATGCCCCGGCGAGAAAAACTTAGCTATAAACTTGTCTGCCAACTCATCCAACGTAGTGATGGATTGGTTGGGAAGTCTTTCGAGCCAGTCCAAAGCTTTCCCTCTAAGTGAAAAAGGGAACAATCTCAATCTCAATGCATCCTCCGACACATTCGTCTGTTTGCTTCCCCAACAAGTATCCACAAAACCTTTAAGATGTTTATATGCATTCTGATGGGGAGCACCTATGAAGTACCCTCGTTGCTCCATAAATGTCAACATAACATTTGTAATTTGGAAATTGCCTGCCCGGTTCCGGGGTGGGACAATTGCACTTGCGTATCCTTTCATTTGGAAGCACCCGAGGAGCAACTCGTGGAGGAGGCGGGGAGGGTTGGAATATTGTCATTGGCCCGCGGCCTCTTCTTTGTCCTTGAGGTACTAGAGGCACCTCATCTTCAGCATTATCATCTACCTCCTCCCCCGGAATAACATTGCCAATTGGATCATTGTGTGCCATGTTGTACCTGAATTGATTAACTCACACAAGTTGTAAAACAGAAGGAAAGAAAAACAAGACACAAAACTAGTCAGATAGATAGCCAAAACCGTTTAGCTCCCCGGCAACAGTGCCAAAAAGTGATCGGCTCCGACCCTATACCACTATAGAATGGCAAGAGTGGTCGATGCAGCTTTTACCCGAGGGGTCGGGATCGATTTCCATAGAGAGCTAAGATAGGTTTGGAATTGGGTTTCTATCTAATCTAGCTATGTGCGATGTTCTTGATTGCACTTCCAATCATTCTTTGTTTGGTTACTATTCTACTTTAACACTAATAAAGAATGAGAATAAGCTAAGTATGATATTTTTGTAAAGGGTTTTCTCAATTTGTAAAAAGGAACTAGGGAAGTGACTTTACACCTAGGTGAGTATCTAACGGGATCTAAAACTTAGGGAAAACTTGTTATAATTGGGATCATGATATAGCCATTGCACATAATTACTCACTTTATACCTCTCGGTAGTTTGAGTGACTTTGCCCTAATTGGCTTTCTCAAGCCCAATTGAGTGTTCAAACAGTGCAAGCAAAATTGGCTCAAGTTGGGTATTACTATCTCTAGGTTTAACCTTCTAATTGGGGCTATCAATCTCTTGAATGCACCCCAATTCCTTGTTAGCCTGAATTTCCTAGACTTAGTCTCTCTTTCTCAAGAAGAGCCTAAGTCAAAAAGGCACAAATCAGTGTTTGCAACCACCAATTTAACAATTAAAGCATGAATCAAGCTAAATATCATTAACCCATAAACATTTAAGCCCTAAAATTGAAGACCCATTAAATACCTACACTAGGGTTGAGCCACAACCCTAGCTAATAGGTTTAGCTACTCATAATCAAAGAGGAAATCAAAGATTGAGATGAAATATAACCCATAAAAAATAATTACAAGAGTAGAATGTAAGATTAATGGTTAACAAAGCTCTAAAATTACTCAAACAAAAAGCAAAAAGTTGTTGTTCACGTGTTCCTCTAACAACAGATACCCTAAAAATATGGAAAAGAACTATTTATACACAGCTAAATTTTCCGGACAAAATTTCCCCTACGGGGAAAATAGGTTGCCTCAGCGCTAGGACTTTCGCGGCCGCGCAAAAGCAAGCGCGGACCGCGGTTCTTCTCTACTGAGCTGAATCTGAACTTGAGTCCGCTGGGAGCGGAAAATCACCCGCCTCAGCGTTCTTTCAACCGCGGCCGCGAAATATGTTCCCGGACCGCGCTTTTTGATTTGAGCTCCAAACTTCATCTCTCTTATTCTTAATTCTGCTGAGGGCGAGAATTTAACCGCGGTCGCGTCAGATGATAGCGCTGTCGCGCAATTTCACCGCGGGCAGCGGTGACTTGTTAAGCTCTAGAACGAGTCTCTGGATCCTCAATCCGCTGAGAGCGGAATTAGGACCGCCTCAGCGGTAGACCCTCCGCGTCCGCTTCTCATTCTTCGCTGTCAGCGCCTTTGATTCAACTTTGAACTTGTACAGGTTTCACTCCTTTATGAGCTGGTTATGACTTTCTTATCTCTTTTTGACCAAACACTGCAAACAGCACAATAAGTTAGTTTTCGGGAATACTTGTACATACTTTTGATCCAAAACCTAACAAAAAGGGAGCATAAATTAGGCTAGAATCCCTAGTTATCAGTGAGTATTATCTCCCCTTTTGTAACAACGCTCGAGTTGTCAAAACCAGACAAGGTACGTGCTTTGGGTACCAATTTATCGTCGGCTTGCATCTCATTTATCACTCTTAGAAGAATGATATTTACAGAGCTACCTGGATCAATCAAAACTCGTTTTACGTTAGTATCATGTACAAGTAAAGATATTACCAGTGCATCATTGTGTGGGATCAACACGCCATCTGCGTCTGCATCATCAAATGTTATACTGTCTTCTTCCAAAACTTGGCGAACTCGCTTCCCGTGGGTAACTGTGATTTTTGACACCTTCTTTGCTGTCGTATATGTTACGTCGTTGACCTCCTCCCCTCCGCTTATGACATTAACTGTTCTTTTTGGTGATGGAGGTTTTGGTGGCTCCTGCCTATTCTTCATATATGCTTGCTTACCCTTCTCACTAAACAATTCGGTTAAGTAACCTTGTTTTAATAAGTGCTCCACTTCACCTTGTAGCAGTCTGCAATTTGCTATTTTGTGACCGTGATCGTTGTGAAACTCGCACCAAAAATCGGGATTTCTTCTGTTTGGGTTCGATCTCATTTCTTTTGGCCACTGCACTTTACCTCCCATGCTTCTTAAAACAGCTACCAACTCAGACATGCTAACATTGAAACTGTAACCACCAATCTTTGCTTTTGAACTTATGTCGTTGTCTCGCGTATCTCGCGTGTCTCGCTCCTTTCTGAACCTGGACGATGAATCTGAATCTCTCTCCCTTGATCTGGAATCATACCTTGGGTTTTCTTATTTCGAACGCGAATCCCTTCCTGCTGGTCTCATATAGGGTTCGTACCTGTTCTTGCCGGACCTTTTTTCAGTATTTGGCCGCCTTGAACTTACCCTTTCATCTCTCCGGGATTGAGTGATAGTGTCTTCTTCTATCCGCAGCTTTGTGTTTTACCTCTTGTAAACATCATTCCAAGTTGTTGCAAGAAATTCTCGTAAGCTTTCTTTGAGTCTCCTCGTGGCTTCTGGGCTTTTTCATTTAAATTACTGGCAAATGCCATTGCCGCCCAATTGTCGGTACACGTGGCAACATCATTCGTTCACGTTGCAATATGTCTACGAATTCCCTGAGTAGCTCCGTATCTCCCTGTTTTATTTTGAAAATGTGTTCCATCCTTTTTTCAACTTTTTGAGCTCCCGAGTGTGCTTTTGTAAATGAATCTGCAAGCTCAGGAAAAGAATTAATGGAATTTTTAGGTAAAAGAGAATACCATGTTAGTGCTCATTTCGTGAGTGTTTCACTGAATTTTTTGACCAGTACTGATTCAATCTCTTGCTTGGTCAAGTCGTTGCCCTTTACGCCAGTTGTAAATGCAGTTACATGATCTCGTGGAACGGTTATTCCATCGTACTTTGGGATATCGAGCATCTTAAACTTTTTCGGAATAGGCAAAGGAGCGGTGCTTGGCTTCCAAGGCTGTTGAGAGTATTTGTCAATATCCACTCCTTTGATTATAAGTGGAACACCAGGTATTTGTTCTATGTGATCGTTCTGCTCCTTGAGCTGTTTCTGCAAAGTTAGTACTAAACTTTGTAAATCAGAATTAATTGGGATACCTGACACTCCATCGCGAGATTCGCTGGGAGTTCCTCCGCTGCCTGAATTAGCGAGTCCTGAGCATGGATTCTCTATGGTTGCGGTGTTGTTTGGAGGCGGAGTTGGTGGTACAGTTGGCAACCCACTAACAAAAGCTTGAAGAGCATTGTTGACCTGTTATGCGATTAATTGCTTCAATGCTGCATCGATAGCTTGATCGTCCTCATGTTGGTCATTCATATGCGATTCAGATCTGTCAGGTGTCCCTTCTTGAGATTGTCGAGGAGAGTTTCGTGGTGAGGGGATTGGAGTTCCATCTCCTTGTTGATTTTGCTGATTCAACTGCTGTTGATTTTGTTGGTTTTGTTAGTTGTTGTCGTTGACGTTTGACATGATTTTTTGGCAAAAGAAGGGATTTGAAAATTGAAAAGATTATCAGATTTCAGGTAACGAAACCAATTTGTTTAACTAAAAAATAGGAATTTCGGTCAAAGCCTATTTTTAGAAGCAGTCGGGTTACTGATAATCAAGAAAAGGAATATTCTTGCAATGAGAAAGGAAAATTAGAGTCTGAAATAGCAAAGTAATCAATGTAAAGCAAAAGTAAATAATTGTATTCCAGTAATAATCAGAACGTATCCATACAAATGACATTTCTCTTCCTTATATAGCCATCTCTAAGTACAACGTCTTTTTCCCTTTATGATCGAGTCATTATGAGCATTAATGACATTAATGAAACGTTATAATTGGCAATCGTAACTGTTTTGTGAAGATTCTATAACGTTTCTAATCATTCATGCTCATTAATTGAAGACCAACGAATCTGTGCTTTTTACTGTCTTGGTTCATTCCACCGGTGTCTCTTTAAATTACTAAAGAGACTCGAGCAACTGTTTCTTCTCGTACTTAGATGTTTTGCTCGTACCTATTAAGAGTCACATCATTTTAAGTACTCTTCTCCAGTTGTCACTTTTCTAATGATCCATGTGTCTTGCCATGTCAGCCACATAATTAATTCCACGTGTAATATTTATTTTTCCCCAATACAATATGCACTTATTTGTCGCTTAGATAAATGTAATCCCTATTTGACCAAAATAAAAGTGATTAGTTAATTATCTTCTTCTTTTTAAAAATCCTATTTAATATAGAAAATTAACAGCAAAGATAATAAAATAATGATCAAATGGATTATCGTAAATGACAAAATTACTTATTTTTAACAAAAGAATCACAAACAACGCAGACGACTCTACTTCTTCCAAAAAGTCTTTGCAAGAATAACCAGCATAAATCATTTCATCAAATTTGTCATAATTCAAATGTGTCTGAGATATCAATAAGTATTGTTAGGAAGAAAACAGTATAGAAAATTATTATTTTTCTCATACATTTTTAAACTAAGAGTAAAATTGTAAACAAAATTGTATCCGACTTAAAATCAAACAAATATTTTTATTATACATTATATTCTATTCATCTAAAGGGGACACTTGGAGCAACGGTAAAGTTGTCTCTGCGTAACCTACAGGTTACTTGTTCGAGCCGTGGAAGCAATCACTAATGCTTGTATTAGGATATGTTATCTATATCACACCTCTTTAAGGTGCAGCCCTTCCCGGACCCTGCGTTAATGCAGAATACTTTTATGCACCAAGCTTCCTTTTTTTATATTCTATCAGTCTATTTAACCATGTGATGAACTAAATATTTGCCAAGAAAAGTATATGCATTTAATAATAAAAAAGTATGCACCCTACTATTATTCATGTATTATAATTTCGGCATAACTTTATTAAACCAAACGACCCTTATTGGTAAATATAAAACAACATTATTTTATACACATACTTCCACAAATCATCCGAAACAGAAGAAAAAAAAATTAAAATAAGGAAATGAAATTTTTTGGGGTAACTACAAAAGCCATTCTATATGCAGAAAATAAATTTTTGGGTAATCGACCAATCTAATATAAGAAATAATAGTTTCAACAACATTTTTTTTTTAATTTTCTATTGGAAGTACCATTTAATACAATTATGTGATTAGTCAAATATTACTTGCGTGTATGACTTAAAATTAAGGTCCACATAGCACAATAAAAAAGCCAAGATGCAACCTTTTTGACAATTTTCATTAAGCCAAGTGGCAATGATTAATTTCCTTTCTATTTGAAAATTGAAAAATAAATTAAAGGACGAAGTTTCAATTAAATATTTGACATATATATTTTATTTACAGAATTAAGCCGGCAGAGGACGGCTAAGTTAATTAGCCTATCAAAATGACAAATAAACTTGTCATTTTTCAGGTTTAAAAGGGAGGCAACCAAATTAAAATTTTCCATGCACAAATTAAACTGAGTTTTTGCATTTTGAGAAAGAAGCTATGGGCTCATCTTTCAGTTGTTGTGGAGATGAAAAGGTTGAAGAAGGGTATGTACTAACCAAAAACTCTTTTTTTAATCCCGTCCTGAGAGGCGAATTCAAGATTTAGAATTTCAAAATAATTTCATATATTCTGTTTACATATATATTTTTTTATATTTTATATAGTTCGAGCCAAGAGCAAGACGTTTTGTAAATGGTTTTCTTTGATCTTTTTAAAACCATTTGTTGTTGCATATAACTTCTTTTTTGCATGTAAATAATATTTTTACATTTCTCTACTGATATATACATAATTTGAGGCAAGAGCCATATCAGGTGACATTTTGTGAAGGATTTCTTTAATCTTGTTGAAACCATTTCTTGCTGCATATGACATTTTTTTTTATGTTTTAAAAATTTATGTCGAAGGGGAGCCTTGGAGCAATGGTAAAGTTGTCTCCGTTTGACCTATAGGTTAAGTGTTCGAGCCGTGAAAGCAGCTACTAATATTTGTATTAGGGTAGGCTATCTACATGTATTAGGGTAGGCTATCTACATCACACCTCCGTTGGAGTGCGACCATTCCCTGGATCCTGCATAAATGTGGGATACGTCGGGCAATCGAAGGGGAGTCTTGGAGCAACGGTTAAGTTGTCTCCATAAGACCTATAGATTACGGGTTCGAACCATGAAAGTAGCCACTAATATTTATATTAGGGTAGTCTATCTATGTCACACCCCTTTGGAGTGCGGCTTATTCCCAGCCCTGCGCAAATGCGGGATACTTTGTGCACCTGACTGCCTTTTTTTAAAAAAAAAAAATTGTGCCAACTTACATAAGTAAAATGTGAATTGATTGGGATTTTTGTAGGCCAAACAATGAAATGGGTGGTGGAAATTCTTGGAGAATATTCACATACAAGGAATTATATGCAGCAACAAATGGATTCAGTGAGAATAACAAACTTGGAGAAGGAGGTTTTGGCAGTGTCTATTGGGGTAAAACCTCTGATGGTCTTCAGGTAATAAATAAATAATTAGCTTCTTAATTATTACATTATTAATAATCAATATATTCAAACTCCCCAACATATAATTTCAAAAGTGTATGGATGATTTAACAAATTAAAGAAGAGGAATTCAATATTTTACTTTGAAGCATATACTTTGGTCATGCCTCTGTTGTAAAATGGTAGTCCTATTTCTTTTCTCATTAATTAAATGAACTACCTTTGTCTAATAATATTTTAAAAATTATTTCATCATTGGAATGAGAGAAGATACCAAGTAAAACATTCGTTTTCAATTATCATTTTTTTTTAATTTTTTCTAAAGATAAATTGACTTTTATCATATCGCTAAGTTCTGCGCACTAAATTTTCGCTATGCGAGAGGTATGATGAAAGATCGAACCATATTGTCTCTATTGTATATGGTCCTTCCTTACATTTCCGCTATGTATGAGATATGAGGAAGAGTCAAATCACATTGTGTTTATTGTATACAGTCTTACGTTATATTCCTGCCAGAGGTCATAATTATAGAATTTTTGTATTGCAGATAGCAGTTAAGAAGCTAAAATCAATGAATTCCAAAGCAGAAATGGAATTTGCTGTGGAAGTTGAAGTGCTCGGGAGGGTTAGACACAAAAATTTGTTAGGTCTAAGAGGCTATTGTGCTGGGAATGAACAAAGGTTAATTGTGTATGATTATATGCCAAATCTGAGTTTACTCTCACATTTACATGGTCATTTATCTAAAGAAGTTCAATTGGATTGGAAGAAAAGAATGAAAGTTGCTATTGGCTCTGCAGAAGGTCTCTTGTAAGTTTCTTTAATTACTACTCCTTTTAGCACTTGTATTTCGGGCAGCCCGGTACACAAAGCATTTCCCGTTTACATAGGGTCCGAGAGAGGGTCACGTTCCAAGGGTATAATGTAGACAGCCTACCCTAATACGAGTATTAGTGGTTGCTTCCACGGCTCGAACCTCTGACTTATAGTGGTTGCTTCTCTCTCTTTATTTACTACTCCTTTTAGGACTCGTACATCGGGCAATCCAGTACACAAAATATCTTCTGTTCATGTAAAGTCCGGAAAGAGCCAATCTCAAAGGTGTGATGTAGACAGCCCACCCTAATGCAAGCATTAGTGGCTGCTTCCACGGTTCGAACCCGTGACTTATAAGTCACACGGAGACAACTTTACCGTTGCTCTAAGGCTCCAACTTTACTTGTACCTCATGAAGTAGAAATTGTACCTTATTTAAATATTTTATACATAAGGAACAACTATAAAGTTGTCTCCTTGTGACCTATAAGTACGAGTTCGAGCCGTGAAAGCAGCCACTAATACTCACATCAAGGTAGATTGTTTATACCATACCCCTTCAGTTGCGTCCCTTTCCTAAACCCTGTGTGAATGTGAGACGCTTTTTGTACCGGACTGCTTTTTTTAGTGTGTATAGTCATAACAAATACTCATATATGTATGTTTTGCTATAGGTATTTGCATCATGAGGTTACACCCCATATCATTCACAGAGATATCAAAGCTAGTAATGTTCTCTTGGATTCAAACTTTGAGCCATTAGTTGCTGATTTTGGTTTTGCAAAATTAATCCCTGAAGGGGTTAGTCACATGACGACACGTGTCAAAGGAACATTGGGATATCTAGCACCAGAATATGCTATGTGGGGTAAAGTCTCTGAAAGTTGTGATGTCTATAGTTTTGGAATTCTTCTCCTTGAGTTAATCACAGGGAGAAAACCAATTGAAAAACTTCCAAATGGTATTAAAAGAACAATTACAGAATGGGTTGAAGCAATGATAGCTAAAGAAAAATTTAAGGATCTTGTTGATCCTAAATTAAAGGGAAATTTCGATGAGTTTCAGTTGAAACAGTCGATTCGTGTAGCAGCGTTATGTGTTCAGAGCGAGCCTGATAAACGACCGACTATGAAAGAAGTTGTAAGTATATTGAAAGGAAAAGAGATGAATTTTGTGAAGGTAAATCAAAATTTGAGAATTCAAAGTGTTAAATATGGAGATGATTTAATGGCTATGGATCAAGATGATGAATCAAATGATGAAAGTAGTGATCAAGGGAATGAAAGTAGTGTTTATGGTGTGTTTGGTGCTATGGAAATGCAAAAAATGCAAGATCCTTACAAACGTTTTGGAGAGAAATAAGGTGTGAGAAGTCGGATGAAAACAGTCGTTCGTTTGTGATTTAACTACACAGTGTTTGGGTGCGATTAAGTTGATCTGAACACCATTATCGTCCAGAAAGAAATTTAATTACATGATATGTTATTTTAAGCTATTAATGACATTCCAATGCACAATGTCGAGGAATTAAACTTTTGAGGGCTATTTAGGTATTAATTCTTTTCTTGAGTTTTTATGTAATTTTTCTAATGTAAGACAATGGAGCTACGAGCCCTTTTTGTTATATAGATATATATGTGTTGATGTTAAGCATACTTATATCTTCACTTTATTTTTTAAATATAATACAATGTGTGTCAAAGTCAATTCCGCTCGACCCGACCCGAAACCAATTACAGAATCAGATTATCCATTAGCGCACGAGTGATACTACGTAAATAAATTCTTAATCAGAGTCTAATTACTCTTTCAAATCATCAATTTTTATTTTAGAAATTAGATCTAAAATCTTTAATTCTCCCTCTTAAATCTCATGATTTATGGTTTAAATTCAATCGAAATTGGGTGTAATAATGTACAAGTGATACATAATCATTACCTTGTAGTTTTAGTTCCTTTTCTAGTCCAACTTGTGAGCCCTCTTCTCAAAATTTTGCCAAAAATGGCTGCTATCACGAGTTCACTATTCATTATATATAGAGAAATTTTTATAAAGCACTACCTTTTAGTAGTAATTAGTCATCTATAGATATCATTTGCTATATTACGGATTATAGATACCTTTTATGGGGTTATAAGATGTATTTGATGTATTTAAGCTATTGTATTCATGAATACAGTAGCAAAAATAGGCGTGAATCAGGGAAGTCCAGCTAATCAGTTGTTGTATTCGAGTGTATTCGACTGTATTCATGGAGTGAAACATGGGATTACAGCTGGACAGATTATTGTATTCGACTGTATTCGCGGCGTGAAATAGGGGATTACACTGTTTTTAAAACAGAAAGTGAATCAATTAACATAATAGACTCCTAATATAACTCAACAAACTCAATTACAACACACAAATTTTGTATTTTCAGTTATAAAAAAGATTCTCAACCGAAAAATACCCCAAAAATATAGCAATCTTCAGAGAAATTATATAATACATCTGAATACATAAATTATATTAATTAAAAAAACATGAATACATTCATGGCATATAGCGAGACAGCGAATACAATGAAATACATAGAAAAAAAGACAGCGAATATAATGAAATACATGGAATACAACGAGATACATTGAATTACAATGGAAAAAAAGACAATGAATACGATGAAATACATAAAAATACAGCGTGATACATTGAAAATACATTGAAATATATTAACAGAAAATCAAGTTGTTCAACCCCAAAATCAGTCGTCTTTGTTCAAAAGTATCCCTCTACAAAATCTTGGAAGTTCAAAGGGGGTTCTCTCAGCATATAAAGCATGCCCTTGCTTGTCAAGGTTAAGGTTTTCTTGTATTTAAGCCATTCTAAGTTGTTGGATTCTCGCAAACCTTCTCCACCACCAGGATTTAAGAGGTTGGCACTTAAGACTGAAGTTTGAATAGCTGTGAACACTTGCAATATGTCAGACTTCTGTGGATTCCACTTGTCTTGAACACCGCAGTACCAGTTAGTCACCGAGATCCCATATTCCAACAGGCTAAGTGAAACCTTGCCCTTTGGGTCCAAGTACGGATTCAAGTCAAGGTCATAAGAATGGTAGTGAATCCTTGGAGGACAATTAGGGTAATTTCTTGGAAAAAGTATGTCGAAGAAGAAGAGGCCACGGGCATAAGGTGTATCCAGTGGACCAACTGTGACTGCTCTCATAAGATCAATCCCATAAGACCTAACAAGAAAGAAGACACGGTTGTCACCGCCGGCGGAGAAGAGAAATTTTAATGGGAGGGGGAAGAGAATGGGATGTATCAAAGTAGAGAGAGAAAGAAAATAATATAACTGATTAGCGTATTTAGTGGCTTAGGGCTAGAAAGTAACCAAAATTAAATTTTTTGCTATAAACCTTAAAAGGTATCTATAGAATATAATTTTTTTAAATGGTATTTATTTAAAATAAATAAGGTGTTTACCTTTGCTATAGGAGGTAAAAATTCCTTATATATATTTGGCCATTTCCGTAATTTCGGCCCAACTATTACTATAGCTATCCAGACCCAAACCAAAAAACAGTGATTTGCACAAATAGGATCATTTGGTACTATCATTTAAATTTTGACCACATAAGAAAAGTCTGGTCAGAATTTTGAAGTATGTTGGTCAGAATATCTCTGGAATATCTTACGGTTATTCGTCAGAATTCTGTCGGTTGCATAATTTTGGGAGAAATTCAAGAATAGCCAGATTTATAAGTGGTTATTCAAAAATAGTCACAGTTTCAAAAGTAATCGAAATTTAGTCACTTTTCATGTAATATAAATCTGAACAAAACATTGTTAATCCAGGAAATACTCCAGCATAATATATTGGAGTTCCAGCATAAGTATACTGGAACTCCAGCATAATATACTGGAGTTCTAGTATAATATACTGGTCCAGTATAATATGCTGGAAGTTCATATATAGGTGCTCCAATCTCCAGTATATTATGTTGGACTTTCCGCGTGTTGGAGTTCCAGCATAATATGCTGGAAGTTCATACACCGGTGCACCGATCTCCAGTATATTATGCTAGACCGGTCGCTATTGCAGCAAAATAATGGCTATTTTCAATGTCTTTGCAAATGCTGACTATTTTTGAATGACCCGTCCGAAAATTGGCTAGCCCGTGCTATTTTAACCATAATTTTAGAAGTTATGGTGATCATTATAAAATCTGGCAGTTGCCATATTTTTGTGCTATTAGCCACGAAAATACTGACCGATCACTAAATTTTTTCATATTGTGTTCTAGTGATCATCAGGATTCTCGATACTTTAAAACTCTTGCCAGTGTACTTTAAAATTCTAATATGAGACTATTTTCTTAAAACTTTTTTTAACAGGGTCAAAATATAAATAATAGATTTTAAGAGGTTCATCTGGCGTAATTTCACCAAAACAGTAAGTGAGAAAGGATGTACTTTTAGGGATCGTTTGGCTGGGAAATAATTTATCTCATGAGCAATTATCCCGTAATTGTTATCTCGCCTTCCATAGCGATAATAATAACGCTACAATTTCGGAATAACTAATTTTCGGGTTATACCACAATTTTATCCCAACTAAACGTGGGATAAATTCATCTCAAATTTACTTCCGAAATTAATTATTCCTTAGTCTTTTGGTAATGAAACTCATCATTTTTGTGCCTAATGCACAAAACCAATATCAAGAAACTATTAATTATGAGTATTAAAACTTTCCATTATGATTTCATTATTTTTAGAAATTAGAAAGGGATGAACATAGGTAAAGAGAGCTTTCTGTACGACTCATTAAAGTGAAACAGAGTACTGTACTCTAATTACAAGTTCAATATTTAATTGTATGCCAAAAGATCTTGAGATTAATTTAATAATGGATAAATCATTTTTACATGAAAATTTTGTTCCTTGTAATTATTCTTAGAATCTAGCTAATTCAATGTACTTGACACCCTTCTTTCTGTCCCTCATGATAATTTATTCTAAATCTTCAATTTATTTCCTTTTATTTGTTACTGCACGTTTTTTTAATTGTTAATTAAGAATTCATCCTACTTAAATCACATCATTTGGAATTAGATTTTACTGAAAGAAAGAATTGTTCATTTGCCTAATTTCATGAGGTAAGTTATAATTTCTTCCTTCTTCTCTTCCCCCTTCCCCCCACCCACCCCCAACCAAACATGATCATAGTAGATGAGTAAAAAAATAGCTCGACGCCAGAATAAAAAAATAATAATACCTTTTTATGATTTATTTTATGGATCTTTAACGTAATCAATGTATGTTTTTACTTGTTAAACTGTTATATTTCAACTGTATCGTACAATCACGCTTTATTGATTTAATGATCAGTAAACAATATTTAGTGGCGGAACCAGAAAATCAAATAAGGTTATTCGAAAATATGTCAAGAATGTTATATTTCATGATTTTTTAATTTACAAAGTAAAATTCCCAGTAAAGTGAATATTGATTTGAAGTAAAGTCTCTGCCACATCCATAATAATTGGGAAATGCTAATGATTGTACAGTTAGCTGTTGTTTCAAACTGCCATATATATAATTACACAATCATCATTATTTTTTCCAGTTATTTATGTATTTTAATTTTTACTTTTCTCTTGGTGAGGAATTATAATGCTGTTGTTAGAACATAGTATAATTATTTTAAAGTGGTGTTAGGTCTTAAAATATACTTTAGATTGCATGACACTATGATGAGACCAAGAGGTACGTGTCAAACTTTAAAACAATTTGTTTATTTAATTCCAAGCATGTAGGGAAAGTTTATTAGATTTTGGCAATGTGGATAATAAGCAATAATAAGGGAGCCTTAAATGAACGGTAAAATTGTTTCTGTGTGGCCTATAGATCATGACTGGTTCGAGTCGTAAAAGCAGCCACTAATACTTGCGTTAGGGTAGGTTGTCTTCATCACACCCAGTATAGCTCTTCCCCGATCCTGCGTGAATGCGAATTACTTTATGCACCGAGCTGCCCTGTCAATTATCCCTTATCTTTTATTCATTCTCTAATTTAGTAGCCACAACTTTCCCTACCAAACTATATGAGTAAAAAATTAAATAAATATTATTCCCTTTATAGTTTACCATATCAGAAAGGAATGATAGGCCATGTACCAAACTTATGAAACAAGAGAAATCAAATACAAAATACCTTTACCTTTGCTTATCCCTCAAAGCACCCAACCATATAACACTTAATTTCATATCCAAAAGTTACATTACTTTTTTTTCCAATGCTTCTTGGAAAAGAATAATTGAATGAGCTAAAGTGGTCACACTAAACCCCCACCCCCACCCCCACCCCACCCCAAACTCAACAACAAGTTCTAATAAATACTAATAATTCAAATGTCTCTTGCACAAGTTTTCCTACTTACTATTTGTTCATTCATTGTGTAAATTGAAAGAAGAGATAAAATCCAAGAAAATGGTTATTTCAAGTACTAAACCTACAAAAATTCTTGTAGGAATTTCTTTGAATGTTGAGGAAAGTAAAGAAATTCTTGCTTGGGCAATTAGAGTTTTAGCCAATCCTAATGATACCATTAT